CCCCTTAGTGAATACCTATTAGAGGATTGTAGGTTATGTTAGCAGATTGTAAATAGAAGATTCAATTAGTGGATTTGATTAGCATAATAAGTTGGCTGGTTGCCGTTTGGTCATATTTGCAGAGCTTTCATTTCAACGGTTTCGTTCAAAAACGCTAGAGTCGAACAACTATTACCAAACAACGTTTTCATTTTTCACTAAAACTCTACTTTCACCAAAAATTTAAAAAGGCTGAAATATGTTTTTCATCCTTGCAAATATAAGGTGTTTTGTTTTAGGTCCGCAAAAAAAAAATCATTTTCATCCCTATAATAATATGCACAGTTATCTTTTTTTATCCTTGATCATTTAACCTCGTTAAAAGTGATGACGTGTCTTTCCACATCAACTTAACGCGAATGTTTAATTTCATCTAATCCACGTCACGTTTTCAAATTATCCTAGCTTTTCATCCCTGCAAATGTAATGAGTATTGTTTGACGAAATAATTACATGAATATGATCAAAATAAAGATGGTTTACAAAAATATGACTAGTTACTAAAGTAGTAATGAAATCATAGTAATTCATGTTCAAGTTTTGAACTTAAGTTACTACAACACCACGATGTAGTAATGAATAGTCATATTTATGTAAATAAGTTTTATTTTAATAATATTCTTGTAAAAAACTGACATCCTTTTTTTTCGCATTTTTAATTTTCACGTCAACTGAATTGAAAATTTTCCACATCCCTATCACTTCACATGTTTATTAATTAGCTTTAAAATATATTTTCATCCTTGTAAATATAACTAATATTGTTTCACATCCTTTCTTTTCGTATTTTAAGTTTGGGAAAAGAGTCGGATAGGGTCTCGAACTTAGTCAAATAAGGCCTTATATAGGAGGTTCTATCCGACCGTCGCCATTTGGGGCGGTTCCCGATAGGAATTTTTTGATGAAGTTTTTTGAGCATCTTATTCATTAAGTCTAGTTTACTCATACCAAATTGTAGCTAAAACTTCAATCGGGAGGGCATTCAAATGAATTCTTAAAAATAACTGTACAGTTAAAAGCGCAGTTATCTTCAAGAATTTATTTGAATGCCTCCCCGATTGAAGTTTTAGCTGAAATTTGGTATGAGTAAAATAGACTTAATGAATAAAATGCTCAAAACATTTCATCAAAAAATTCCATATGGAACCGCCCCAAATGGCGACGGTCGACAAAACCTCTTATATAAGGCCTTATTTGACCTTTTTATGTAAGTTCGAGACCCTGATCTTCTTCCCTTTAATTTTATTTCTAAGTTTTTGTCATGTGTGCCGATCCTTCATTTGGAAATGGAATGACAAATACTACTGACTACAAATAAAATTCAAAAGAAAGTAGTCTTATTCTTAAAATACGTTACACTGGAAAGGAAAAAAAAATATTAATCAATGAATATAAAATTCAAAATAATTTCAATATTCACGGCTGCTCAGAAGGCTAAACCAAGATCAAGAAAAACTATGAACAAACTAATTGTTCAGCCAATTAATCCATAAGATCCGTTACATCTAACAAGATACAAAAAAAATTAAAAGCTGAAATTAAAATTCATGATAAATTCAAGATACACAGCTTGCTAGTCACACCAATTTGACATGGCTCATGCATTTGACATTCCCCGGACACCAATCACACCAATTTTGTGCACCTCAAGAGGTGCACAAAATGTATCATTGTTTGGTTGATCTTCATTTAGTGCAAGGTTTTTACCATTTCAGCATTTCTTTGGGCTGACTTTGTTTGACGTATACCATTGATTTCAATACTAGAATGTACTTCTCGGACCCTATCATCAATAAAACCATCGTCAAGCCCCAAAGCCCTTTCCTCTTCACTGTCATCGAAATGAACACCATTTACTTCATCTTCACTACCATCAATATCACCTTCATCAGCAACCTCACAAGCAGTCTCATCATGGTCTTCGTTCGAAATAGCAGATTCAACATAAATATGAACTCGACACTCATTTTTCAAAGCAAAAGCAGAAATATTTGCAGCGTCATTGTCACAACTGAACACTTCCAATTTTATTATTGAACATTTTTCTTAAATTACTTTAAAAAATATGGAGTAACTGATGAAGTAAAATCAATCGGAGAAGCTCCCTAACTTATTTTCAAAAGAACTTACGAGGGTTGGGTTCTACTATGTTTTTGGTAGGACAAGTGGACAACTTCGAAATCAATATTGTTCACTCAAATGTACGAGTACGGATTTGTTGTGTTTTACACTTTTACTATTGCGCATATAAAAACTTAAACAAAATCAAAATTTCCAATTCTTCCTCAATCACTATCTTTAAACATCTCTATTTAATACGGAGTGTTACCTAAACTTGTATGGAGTTGTCATTCCAAATTAAAATACATGTTGTACTGAATGTATTTAAAGTTATGAATAATCTTGAACAAGCTAAGATTTGATATTTGAAATCAATTTTTTTTATCTAAATAATCTTTCAAAATAATTTCATATGTTCAACCATGATCTCTAAGAAGGTCTTTCGCGTCATCAAGATCACCTCCAAATAAATTCATGGATGATGATGCCCACATGGCAAGGCAATTCTTTATTATTTTGCAATTGTTTTAACTTTTTCATTTTTTAAAAAAACTTATCATTTTTTATGATCTCTAGTACAGTACCAAATTGTATATGAAAAATCCATTCGTTCCACTAAACTTTTTCAACTTTTCTTTTTCTCTGTCTCAAAAACTTTGCCCCTTTACTTTTAGAAGAATGAATTTTGGCTTTGTTGGTTTCCCTTTCTTGTGACCATTGGAACGATCATAAAAATTTATTAAACACTATATTTTTTTTGTAGAGTTTGGACCATAAATAAAAATGTTATAATATTTTTTTTAAACAATGAAACATGTCCATGGTGAGAATACGGTATATCGTGGCAGCAGGAGAAGTCTATGGTGAGTATGGTACTCCCACAGCTAAAACACATATGAATCGTAAATTTTTTTTTGTTTTGTTTTAGTAGCAAGGTGATGTAACTCGTATGCAAAGGAGAAATGTAACATACGTTGATGAGAAATGTATTTGCATGTCAATCGAAATGTAACTTGTCCAATACCAAATATAATAAATAGAATATTGATTTCAATGTACAATTAAAAAAAGTCTTATTGCTCTATTACTTTTATGTAAATAGTGAATATGTTTTGTTTTTAATACTACCTCCGTCCCATAATGGTTGTCACATTTCAATTTGACACGATTATTATTAATAAAGTGGTTGAAAAGTAAAAGTTGTGGTTGAGATTTGAGTATAATAAAGTGGAATGATATGGTCCACAAATTTCTTACCAAAAGGGGAAACATGACATCCATTTTGGGACAACCCAAAAAGGAAAGTAAGATAACCAAAATGGGACGGAGAGAGTATGATTTAAGAAAATTATTTTTTTAATTTCAATAACAGGAGTTTATTTTACGATGTAACTGAAGTTGATGGAACATGTAACTTACGTATATGCAAAATGTAACTTGTTGAGACAAGTCTAAATGTAAATCGCGCAAAAAAAGAGATATAACTACTTCACGCACATAAAGATGTGCATAACTCGTTTTATTTGGTTACATGATCTATTTAATACGGAGCATTAGTATTTCGAATCAAATGATTTAGGTTAGGAAATTGCTAATTTGAAACCTTTGGTTTTCTTAAAAAAAGTGATTATTGAGTGATAGGTTTTTGTTGACTGGGTTAACATGGATAAGTTGTTTTACTGCTTACACTCCGCTCTGTACTTTTGTTGAATAATTTAGTCATGAATAATTGAATATAACCTGACCTTTTGAAGTAGAGAGTAGACTAGTAGAGTATGGGATTTAGCCTGATGATTCAGAAAGCTACGAGGCAGCTACGAGGCCCTTTGGTGTAGTGCTTAACATTTTATATTCTTGTTTAGTTTAACTTATTTTATTAAATAATCTGTATCTTGTTTCTTATTTGTTGCAGGTAAAGGTTCCAGTTTGATGTCAAGAAGTTGACATATTTCAGCTCTGAGTTTAACACTACCAGTAGAATGTGGTTTCATCTTTCTATGCACTATGAATGTGTACTTGATTTTGTTACGGAGTATTTCGTTTAAAGATTTTACTTGTATTGATGTAACTTTTATTTGTATTGATGTCATTTTTATTTATTGTGAGTGTTACCAGAGAGCATTATATTAATGTAATAAGTGTTGATAATTTGTTAAAAATTCAAAATTAATGGGTTTGTACTTTGTAGTAGGCCGCTGAAATGTTAGGTGTTAGTTACTTTGGCAGTTACCGAGTGTTAGGTCACTTGTGGTGGTCACTTTGAATGATGGTCACTGGAGTAGTGGTAATTGGAACGATCATCAATGGTACTGAAGCGAACGTGGGATTGGTCACCGGGCGGTTATCACAGACGTGTTGATCACTAGTGTGATGATCATTAAGAGGTAGTCATTGGTCGGTGATCATTGATAATGTGACCAGTGGGTGTTGGGTCACTTGCGAAATGGTGGTCACTAGAGCAGTAGTGAATGGGACGGACCAGACGGTCGTCAATGGAGTTGTGGTCACCATGGCGATGAGTCACTAAAGATGGTCACTATGAATGGTGGTCATTGCTGCGGTGGTAACCGAAGAATTGGTCATTGTAAAATTATATTCATTTTCATTCACATGTCCGCAGCCCACATGCTCCTGAGTGACTATGCTCCTGCCTTACATTACTGACAATGGTGGGTAAGGAGGGAGCCATATGGACTCTGTTTCGCCCAACTTTTCTGGAGATTATATTAGTCTGGCCAAAGACGGTAAGGATGAAGTAGTCTCTTTGTCTCTTTTTAGTCCCTTTAATATTATGTCCTAATCCCATCAAAATAATCAGATCTTAATCCAAGTTTTCATACTTTTACTTAACTAATATGTTGTCTGACCTCAACAGACAAACATCAAAATAAGATAACTGATTACCTACAACTAACTTTTGTGAAATACAAGTTACGGAAAAATGTATGAGTTCAAACAAGAGTTGTCCCATAGTCACCTCATATTATCAAATGCTTATGGAACAACAAGAATAGCAGGATACATGTCATTGATCCTGAAGGATATTCAGCTCCTCCATTACTTAAAGAACGACCATCAAGAAAAATAGACCGATGCCAATATATACATACTATTTATAATGTCGACTCTTCAAACAATCACCGAACACAAAATGTAGAGATCCAAAACAACACAAATGCACCAAGCCCACCATCACAGGGCCACAATATTTCTGCTCATTCTTGGTCACTTGGTCACACAGACTAAAGTTCTTTGAGCACTCCTGTTTGTCATCCAGCTCATCAGCATTACTGGCTGCTTTCTGTCATATGAATGAAGATGGAGCATCAGAATTCAGATGGTATAAAAGACCAAACAGAAGATGCTTGATGATAATATAGTCAAACTGGTTGAATTGGTATTCATACAAAATCAAAGCATATATGTTACCATTCTATTTAAATCTTAAAAATGGGCAAATATCTAAAAAAAACGATCCTCAGTTTTTAACAAAATACCCCCCTTTAAAGTGCCCTATTTAGTCCTTAAGCTGGGCTATACTGACTCAATAATGACCATGTGGTGTGGACTTTAAAGAAAGTCCCTGTTGACTTCTGATTAGAGACATGTGTATACATCCAACAGCTTTAATTTAGGCATGTGGCATGTGGAGAAAACTTTATGTCAAGTATGAATCAGGTTGCAACAACAAAGAACACGTTACAAATTTAAAAACAAACCCCAAATCACTTCACAGTATGGCTACGCGAACTATTCCGCTAAAGTACAGCTACCGGAACTTTGCCGCTAGATACTTGTCGATTCCGGGTCCGTAAAGGTCTATTGATCTTGGAAGAGATGCAACTAGCTTCATGCCTTCATGTAACTGTGTGTTATCTGTTGAACTTGAAGGTTGTGCCATGGAGGCCGTGCAGCGGTGGTCGTTTCCTGGAAAGATGCAAAGGCGGCAAAAATGGAGTACTTCAAAGAAAGAGCAAGCACGAAAGAAAGAAACGCACGAGAGCCGGGGGGGAAGGAGCGGACAAAGATTTAGGAAGGAAGGAAGAAGGCAAGAAAGAAAGAGAAAAAAGGGAGGGGGAAGGAAAATAAATGAAAAGTGAAAAAATATAAAATAGTAAACAATGCCACCTAGGACATCCACATAAGCGATCAACTTGGCAACTGGTTGAGTACCTCTTAAATAGTTGATTTAGTTAGTTTTTGAGACTTGACGAACTTGATTGATCCATTAAAAAGTACATGCACTCAATTGACTTTTTTGTTAAAAGTGTGTGGACTTATTTGACAGTTTCACCTTAAGAAAATGTATTAAACATAATATATCAAGAAGGACCGGAAAAAAAAAGATATATAGTGCAAATTCACATCAAACCCTATATGTAATTGTAAGTTGTAACATTAATGTATTTTTATTATCTCCTTCTATAGGCAACTGAAAACCAAGCCCTTCTGATGCAATAACATTGACTCCATCTTAAAAGAGGGTAAAGTAGTGTGAAATACCCAAATTTCAGCTATGCATAAGCTTTGTGCTTAACCAGAGAGAACAAAACAGTTCTCAGCGATAAAACACACAAGGTCATTGATTGTATGAATAAAGAACACAAGCGCAACACAATGAACTTGTTGCAGTAGCCATGAACTTTGAAATCACTGTCTGATTAGTAACAGTAGAATGGTACATGAATCCACTAGACTCTTGGAATGAAAATTACGGAGCCAACAAAACAGTGTCTGTTAGACATAGAATCATCAGATATCGAATAGATTGTGACTTGTGAGTAAAACCTTAAGTATGTGCATTTCATTTGACATCGAACGATGTGCATCCATAAGGAGATTGGAGTCTACTTCAAAATGTCTGCATTGCATCACAGAACATCATAAGACGATCAGATATCATGGATGAACTCTTATTTAAGGAAGCTAAAGAAAAAACGAGATGGATGAAAACTTCAGTGACCTAAACAGTAAACAATAAAAGTTACGTGCTGAATAGTTACTTTAGAGTTTCTCCTGCAAATCTGGGATCCATCATCAGAAGAAATATTCCCCCAGAAAACCTGCCACCAAGAAAGCCTTTAACCAAAGAATGAACGGCTTTTGGTTTTATTAATAGGATATCAAACTATATGGAAGCGATAATGATATGAAGCAGAAAAATAAAATCAACAGGGTGAACCGTTGCCCAGATAATCAACGATAAAAAAATTATGGTTGCCCAGAGCCAAAAGGCTAAACCAACGTTTATTCCAAGATAACAAGAATGAACCCTGGCGAGGGCTATAAATAGCCTTCTACAAGCAACCCTAATCAAGCCCAAATTAATTAAATCCTAATTAGGCCCATACTAACTCTACTAAGTACTCTACTAATAATAGGCCCAAACCAAAACATAACATTAACTTTAATATAATAAATAAACTATAAAGATAGCCCGTAACCGACCCACGGAAGTGGGCCCAAGCCCGGTCCTGCCCCATGCTCTTCCCGCTATCTATCAGATAAAGTCAGTTCATATTACATCCTTGAAATTTGCTGCAGTATGTGGACAATATTGAACTAATGAAATTAAGTCACAATTTATATTCAGCCAAAACAACTCTCAACTTTGTGGTTGTGAACTAAATGAACTGATTTTATTGTTATGAAACTTGACATTGAAGCACTATAAATGAGATATTACGGTTTCTATGCTACGTACTACATAACTGGGGTTTCAACACTCTCCTCAAGATGGGGCATACAATGTATAAATTATATGCACCAAGCTTGTTACAAATATATTTCATTCAAGGACCTCTAAGGCTCTAAGAGACTTGATTAAAACATCTACTTGCTCAATAAAAAAAAAGTTTTCAATAATATTACAAATGTATACAGAAGTAGTATACTCCGTATAATCTAACATCATTTGCATAAAAAAGTAAAATATAAAAATAAATATTACAAATGTTTACAAGAATAAGAGTTTTCATTGAAGTCAACTACGAATAAAACATCACAAACTCATAACTGTTCTTTACGGGTTTTATAGAATAATATTGCTGTCAATTTTCAAGAAAATGTCTTTTTTTTATGCGTTTACATAACTATTTGAAGTTTGTGGCCATTACAAATGTTAGTGAGGCCTCTTCATTAGCTCATACATCAATATATTTATAGTATATCTTGACCTACCTTCAATAGCTTTTATACTCAACAACAGTCATATAATAGGTTAGAAAGTACCAAAAAGGACCTCACATGTATATTAGAAACAATAGGATTAATACTAACAACAAATAATAATTGCATTAAAACTAAACAATAAGATTGAGACTCACAAATCACAACCATATTAATACTATTGACTTACTACTAAACGTCTAAATAATGAGATTAATTTTCACAATGATATTAATGTAAATTGGTTAAATGATTAATACTTAACAATGGGACTAATACGCATAGACACAAAAACAAAATCGTATCATAAATTTCCGAAAACTTTCAACATAGCTACACAAGATATAGTACATTCCATGAAAATTAGTTTATGATAGCAAACTTTCTAAATATGCAATGATATGAAAATGCCTAGCACAAATTGAGGTCGAACAACTAGGCAGATGAAATTGGATTTGCCATGAATTTGAGGTATCAAAAGACAAAAACTAGAAAATAAATATTGTTTATTTGGCCGGAAAAACAAATTTCATTATTTCAAATTCCATAACTTCACTGATTGAAATATTAGAAAACTAAGATTCCCTAATTGAACAAATCCCGGTAAATTAGTAATACAACCAGATTTATTTCTGAAGTGCATATCACAGAAGTTCACTAAGTGAATCTGGGAGAATTTCTATTTTGAACAAAACCTGGAACTTATTTTTTAATTTAGGTTACCTATCTGAGTAATGAGTCGAAGAGACAGAAATCAGAGTTTTTCCGCCGTGCAGGTGCGGCAGACGGCAGGGCAGTGCGCTGCGTGCAGTAGCCAGTGGTGGCTCACGGGCTCGCACGGGAGCGACGGATGGTGCACACTACAGACCAAATCTAACCATACCAGACAAGACCAGACTAGACTTGGATAATTATAAAATACACTGAGACCACACATTTACCAATAGACCAGACCAGTCCAAAAAAATCAATCCAAATAAAAATATCTTTACTCCTCAGTCACGACTCAGTTAAAATGGCCTTTATTGTAAGTATTATCAATCAAATAAGGAAAACAAAAATATGACATGTTCTTACGTTTTCCAAAAATGTGACTAATTATACATTTAATGTCCTTTATTAAAAATTAGATTTATTATTATTTTAGTACCCCGTTCTACATGAAGTATAATTAAAAAAAACAATAAATTGTTCAGCCAACATTGCAGGAAATAATTGCCGCCGTTGTAATTAAACCAGAAGATCAAAACACTAATTCAAGCTCACAATCCATCATTCTCAATTTCTCATTATTGTAAACTCCATAGAAAAGAGTACAGAGTTAGGCAATTCAAGAGGGCCGTGCTCTCCGGGTTCCAACAAACTTCTAACAACCTACCTCTCTCACGCCATCTACCCTTTTATTCCCTAACTTAACCAACTTGCCACCTTAGCTAGTAATTAGTTAATCTACTCTTTACATGTTTTCTCCTGCGTCTGTCTGTAAACCTTGGTAAAATCCCTATTGGGAGTCATCTTCAATAGATCAAAAAGAGCTTTCTTGATGATATGAAATAAATTCCAAGTGAAAAGAAGTAAAAACATAAGATATGAGATAAATTCAATGAAAACCTGGTAGCATAGATGACTAGATTGAGCCTGCGAGGGACGAAGGGAGTCTGAGTGGCTGTGAGTATGCACCCGCATAGCTTAACATTGGGGCCCCAATTTTAGTTTTTATATATGATATTCAAAATTTGGGATTCACGGGTTTGGATCAATTTTCCGGGTTTAACCTGGACCGGACCAAAAACCTGGAATCCTTAGTTTCCTTCACCCAGAGATCGGACCTGTATTTGTCGGACCGGTCCATTCTGGTCCAGTTCAAGTCTACATTACTGTGTTGACCGGTTTGGGCATACACCTAATTGACTTGTTAGGAGGCTGGGTGTGAGATTGTTTGGTATATTGTTGTTATAAAGAATTGATGTTTCCAATTGTGGTGAGAGCATTATGTAGCTAAGCTTATGCAAGTTTGATATTTATAAAAATGGTAAACAATGATTTTGAGTCTTTGACAAATTTAGATGATGAACTAGTTTGTCTTGCTTATGAATTGATGAAGCCTAATATGATTCTCTCAGATTCAATTTGACTAATTTAATGAATTATTTGAATGAGTACTTGATTATAATCTCTTGAATTAAGATATTAGGTTTGAATGCCAAGATAATGAGAAACTCACTTTTCCCATTAGCCTATTTATTACTACGTATAATGAAACAATTGTATGGTTTGATGTGTTTTTCTAATTATAACTTTGATAAATTATCTTATTTCCAATTGAAATCTTATATGGTTCCCCATCCTCAAATGGATAAGCCATGGCCATCACGTGCTATTGAGATATTTTCCATTCTTATTGGCCGATAAAACTCAATTTATTGCGAATTTATGGTTCATTTGAAAGTGTATCTGACAGTTATCAAATTTGTTCGATATTCAAGAGAAATAGAAATGACACTCTCGACTTGTTAGAACACTTGGTATCCACAATCGTTATACTAGATAGATGACTCTCAGGGCTATAAGGAGTTTCCATTAGAAATTAAGATTGACCTAAAGGACGCTGAAGACCATTTATCTATTAAGGGCTATGTGGATTGGCAGGCTTCCGCTTTTGAAAGTTCATCATAGTGTCACAAACAACTCTGCAATGTATTCCAAGGTGAAAATGAATTTGTTGTGTGCACTACTCCATTTTTTCAGAAGTTGTGCAAGTGGTGATCAAGACTTCTTTGGATTTCAAAACGGGTTATGTTAATGATTGTTCTTAGAAGGTTTATGGTAGCCTCATTGCTCATTATAACTACTTTGACTATTCTTCACGGTATACCAAGGAGTATTATCAGAGTGTTCTGTTTATGAGGATTGAAGATGAAGACATAGAACTAAATGCTGATTCGACGTTGCCACTTTCGAGATCTATGATCATTGTGCCCGCATACTCCTCCCTTGTTATTGATGCAAATCTAGGCATATCAGATCAAAGGTTGTTATGTACTAAAGAGGTCAAGATCGGTGAAGGTTGGAAGACTATAGAGATCAATGATTGTGTGATCTCTATAGTTTTCCAACTTTCACCGATTTAGATCACTCTAATACGTAACAGCTTTTGACCTGAAATGTCTATATCTACATCAATAACAAAGTGGCAATGTGGAATCAACATTTAGTTCTATAACTTTATCTTCAGTCCTCCTAAATAAAACACTTCGGATATTCTTTGATATATCGTGAAGAATAATCAAAACAGTTATACTGAGCAATGATGTTACCATAAACTTTCTGAAAACGATCACTAACATATACCATTTTGAAATCAAAAGAAATCTTGATCCCTACTTGTGCAGACTCTGAAAAAATGAAATAATGTACAACACCATTTTCACCTTGGAACACATTGCAGTGTTTTTTGTCACACCATAATAAACTTTCAAGAGCCGAACCCTTCAATCCACATGACCCTTAATAGTTAAATGGTCTTCAACGTCCTTTAGATCAATCTTAATTTCTAATGGAAACTTCTCATAGCACCGAGAGCCATCTAGTACACCGATTGTGGATTCCAGGTGTTCTAACAAGTCCAAAGTGTCATTTCTATCTCTCTTGAATATTGACCAAATTTGATGATCGTTGGATACAACTTAAAGTAAACCATAAATTCGCAATGCATTTGAGTTTTGTCGACCAATAAATATCTCAATAGCACATGATGGTTATGGCTTACTCATTTGAGGACAGGGACCCCTATCAAGATTTCTAATTGGAAATCAAATATATATTAATTGGAAATCAAAGTTATAATAAATCAACTGGAAATCAAAGATTCCAATTGATTTCTAATTGGAAATCAAAGTTATAATTACAAAACACGTCATTTGAGTTTTGTCGACCAATAAATATCTCAATAGCACATGATGGTTATGGCTTACTCATTTGAGGACAGGGACCCCTATCAAGATTTCTAATTGGAAATCAAATATATATTAATTGGAAATCAAAGTTATAATTACAAAACACGTCAAACCATACAGTTGCTTCATTTTAATAAATAGACTAATGGGGAAAGTATGTTTCTCATTATCTTGGCATTCGCACCTAATATCTTAGTTCAAGAGATTATAAGCAAAACTCATTCACATGATTCATTAAATGAGTATTTAAATTGAACTTTAGAGAATCATATTAGGCTTCAATCAGTTCATAAGCATGACAAGCTAGTTCATTAACTAAATTTTTCGAACGCATTGTTTACAATTTTTATAAATATCAAATTTGTATAAGCTTAACTAGATAATGCTCTCACCACAACTGGAAACAGCAGTACTTTATAACAACAATATATGGATGATGATATACATTAGTACTTTATAATAACAATATATGGACGATGATATACTCATATGTGGAGCATGTTGTTGTAACAAGAGAGAAAACGATCGAGAAGTCGATTGAAAACCCCTCGACAGAGGTATCGAGATGAGAGTCAGCACTCTTCCGCACCACGAGGTAACTCTTCTAGTTTACGATCAATTTTTGTCCGATGCGAGGAAAGTAGCCCATGTACGTTCACGCGTACGGGGAGGAAGGTTGATCGTGTGGAAAGATTTTTTAAACTGAATTGGGTGGCAGAAGAAGATAAGGTGGAGGTAGTAGTAATAGCTATGGAGGAAAAATCACTCAATTAGTTTGAATGGTGAGAGGACAAAACGGATGATCGCCGTTGGGAAACTTTTAAGGATGCTTTGGTCAGAAGGTTCCAGCCGGATCTAATCCAGAACCCCTTTGGACCAATGTTGAACATAAAACGGGTGGGGGCAATTATGGAGTACAGGGAACAATTTGAGTTGGTGGTCGCACTAATGCGCCACACGGACACAGAAATGCTGAAAGGAATTTTCATAAACGGTTTGAAGGAGGAAATTCGAGCAGAGTTGATGCTTTATCACTCTCGAAATCTGGCAGAATTAATGGATAGGGCTTTGCTATGGGAGGAAAAAAAACAAGGCTTTGAAGTTTGGAAGGTATAAAGGAGAGGACAAGAAGGGCTTGAAGGAAAGAAGTGGGACCATGGGCAGACAATTGAATTGGGTAGAAGGAATTAAAGGGAGAACCCGTGGTTTACCCTAGCAGACGGCTGACAAAAACACTTCTGAAAACAAGGTGGGGGATTCCACAACTCTGAATCCATGTTGGAAGAGTAGCAGAAGGTTGACCCAGTCGGAATTAGAAGAAAGAAGCAAAAAGGGCATGTGTTTTAAATGTGGAGACAAGTAAGACAGGGAACATATTTGTAAAATGAAGCGTCATTAGATTGTACTGCTTGAATCAGCAGAAGAGGAAGTCGAAGACACAATTTCGGAAGTGGAATCTGTAGTGGAGGAAGAAGAAGAAGAAGGCAATTTAAAAACAATGCAGTTGTCTAACCTAAGCAAAAGAAGGCCTGACCACACAGAGAACCTTCAGGGTGCAGGGACAGTTACAAGATCCTGAAAGAAGCAGATCACTGGTGCTACTTATTGATTCAGGAGACACGCACCTTTATTTCTCAAAAGTTGGTGGAAGAATGGGCACTCACATACATAACAACAAGTAAATTCCGAGTAGAGATGGTGAACAGATGATCAATAGGGTATGTGTGAAGGTCTACAAATTTGGGTTCAGGGTGTTCTTATTGTTCAGAATTTTTACTTGCTGGAATGGGTGGCTGGCAAGTTTAGGAGCTATTGAAGTCAATTTCAGAAGACTAAGGATCAAATGGGAGGATGAAGGGCAGGAGAGACAACTGCTAGGAGATCAGAACATGAGCAGGTCTCATGCATCATGGAAAGCTCTTGTTAAGAATTTACAAAATCAAGGGTAAGGGTACTATGTGCATCAGGAAGAACTTGCAACACAAGAAAATAATGAAAACATACCTGGGAAGGAATAGCATAAACTTCTGGCTGAGTTTCCTCAAGATTTTCAAACGACACCGGGGTTACCACCAAATAGGGAGTGTGATCATGCCATTAACATCAAAGGAGGAGCTGATATTCCCAATATACGGCCCTACAGTACCAGAAGCATGAAATTGAGAGATTAGTGAAAGATCTCTTAGGGACAGGTATTATTCGGCCAAGTAATTGTCCCTATAGCAGTCCTGTCATTTTAGTCAAGAAAAAAGACGGGGGATGGAGATTATGTGGGGATTATCGTGCCTTGAACAAGATCATTATTCCTGATAAATTCCCTATACCTTTCATTGAAGGATTATAAGATGAACTAGTATTCCACCCGTGCGTTGCACGGGGTGTAATACGCACCTATTATAAATTGTACGGGTGTAATACTCACCTGTTATAAATGTTAACTATAAATTCAACAACAAATCATAATACTCTATCATTTATCACATGAGTAGAGAATTCGTAAACAAATAATACTCCATAACAAATATTAAAAGTTTTAATTAGCACACAAATTACAAATTTTTAAGTACCATGTAGACAACGCTTTTTAATATATTTTTAATTTCTTTGTTGTTGCATATTATGAACTTTAAGTCAAATAGTATAGTCACACTCGAAACATCATGATACACAGCTAGATTTAAGCTGCTCAGTTCATGAGTGAGGTTCATATTGAAGAGGGTGGCTGGTGGTTGCAAGAATGACAGGCAAAAGGTGAAAATATGATCATAAGTTCTTGTTATTGAATCTATAAAATATGATATTCTATCAACATAAATCATTATCTTGTCACTGAATCGATCATTATCTGACCTGCCCTTCTAGGACCACCGTAGCTCACACGATGTGGAGAACATCAAATTGAAGCTACATTCAAAACAAAAAAACAAAAAGATAAAAGCATATAAATGTAAACATAATTCCTTAAAATGAGGTAAAAAGGCGGAAATAATTGCTAAATATACAAATTGGACCTTGAATAGAGACAATCGAATTACATAATTTTTGAACAACCTCCAATAGTCCCGAAAAGGGCGGAGAAATTGAGGAGGGGCTACGGAGAATTTGATGAATTTCAAGAAAGCAACATCCGTGTTCCATCCTCTATGCATCCGTATTTTGTTTGTCTCTATTCAACCTCTGTACAAATCCTCACATTCCATTCATGGGATATGAACAATGGATGAAGCTTGGGCCGAATTGGCAGATGAGAAGATGAGAGGTTTGGTCGAATTGGCAGATGAGAAGCGGAGGAATTGATTTAGTAGTCGAAGAAATTGGGAGGCGTGCGTCTATCTGATGCTTCGACCTTGCTTGCTTGGATGACAGGATGAGAGGGGAGAAGGGAATAAAAAATGAGTTTTTTCCCAAATGAAGGTATTTTTTAATCTTATTTCCCAAAAGAGGGTACTTTTTAACTTATTTCCCAAACCAAGGTAGTTTTTGCCTAGTCATCGAAATATAGGTGCCATGTCAGCACTCGGATGAAATCTGCAATTTATTATATCCACGTCATTTTTTGAAGGAATATCCACGTCATTTTATTCATAGTTGCATATGACATATGTTAAAGATAAAATAATAATAAAAAAAGCAAGGTGGGAATCGAACCTGCACCCCCCTTGATTTGTACCTCCCATACAAATGAGTTCCATCAATACTAATTACGGGCCTACAATATTTAAATCCCTCAACAGATTGTGGAAAAGCTCAAAACATGCGCTGAAAAGTCCCCATATTTTGATCTTGCAACTTTTCAAACTGCCATACAACAATCATGTTATTACACTTTTCAAGCGCGGCAATAAATTTAGGTAACATTTTATAGGATTTCTCCCAGTCACCAAAGACAGTATGTATTGCCTTTTGCTTCGCATGCCACATCTTCTTATATGACACATCGTAAGAGAACTTATCTTTCGAAACCTCTATTAAGGCTGCCACTGTAATGGAAGGCTCCACTTTGACTTGATTTTCAATTTCTCGTGCCAATAAGTTTGTCTAACATTGGGTGATCCCGACTCAAACTTTGGTACACACATTGGTGCGGGCCATCATATTTAGTTATTTCAAAACGCTGATGGGACTTAAGCTTACATGCTCGAAGCCTCCAACGACAACCGCCTTCCTTGTGTTTCGCACACTTCAATGACCACACAGTTGTTTTCGTTTCAACTACTTCATACATGCGGTGCCTCTTAATAGAGTAAAGCTGAACGGCCCTTTTCAAATCAGCCTTATCCTTAAAAATCAACCCTTTCTTTAGCTCATCACATGGAGTCCATTGAACGGTTGGACTCGATAATGACCAACTACTAGTCACATCATCATTAATATCATCAATACTATTGAAGAAAGGAATATTTTCTACAATTTTATCCTCTCCACGCACCACATCATCCTTTTCATTTTCCTTAATGGGTTCCTCTTCACCCTCACTGGTTTCATCATAATCTTCCTTTTGTTCAATATATTCTTCTAAGTCAATAGTCGCATTATCAACATTCATATCACAAAACATAGTATCACTTTCAGAATCAATCATTTCTAGCACTGCATTCATGTTCATGCTCATGCTCTGCTCTTTGTTATGCATTACAAAATCTGAATAAATTAACAAGGAAGATATTATACAAAAATAAGGGTGATCGATCTACTTCAGATAGTTGAATAAAATTATATGCTTCAAGCTATAAAAAAGGAATAATAAATTAAAATGTTTAAATCAAATACGAAGTATGCAAAAAGTCCACAAAGAAAAGTCAGATATCTTCAAACAACTCAGTTCTCAGTTAGCTTAAAGTAAAATAAGATTAAAAGAAAATATGCTGATATGAAATAAATTACTTTTATATTACGAAAAATTTATTCGTATTTTTTAAAAAGGAAAAAAAAGTTTTCTGCATTATCATATATGACAACTAAGAGAAGCTTATCTCAATGCAATTTCTATATAAAATTGAATGTGATGAGTTGTAAGAAGTAAATTTTAAGAAAGAAGTTTACAAAACGATTAGAAGAACGTGATACCGTACCCCAAATTAACACATGTTTGTTGTATAATCATTTACATACCTGCAAAGAGGAGAATCGGAGAAGGAAAATCAGGTTACTTTGGACGGAAGAGCACAAAACGTCCCTGGTTAGCCGACGAAGAACCCTAGCTGGACTCGACAACTTCAGCACGAAGTATTTGTGAAGAAAAGACTTTTAATTTTGTGAATATAAAGTGACCTAAATCTAAATTGTTAAATAAATATTAGAAAGATAGATTTGCAAAGAAGTTCGGTGGCTTGATGGTTGAATATGTGAATTATTACATACAGCGGCGTGGGTTCGACTCCCATCAGCCTTTTATTCCTTTTAATTTTAATACTCCGTATAAAAGAGATGCGGAATTGCCATGTGGCCCAAAAGTTGATATAGAATTACTGATGTGGCGATTTTATTAAAAATAATATTAAAATACTGACATGGCATATGACAAGGCAAAAATTACCTTAGTTTGGGAAATAACTTAAAAAGTACCCTCTTTTGGGAAATAAGATTATAAAGTACACTCCTTTAGGAAAAAACTCAATAAAAAATGGAAGACGCGAGAAGGAAGAAGGGCAAAGCATGGAATAAGGGACCAAAAACTTTTCATTGAATCTGGAATAGGACACTCGGGTTTATGGTGGACCAAATAAACACAAACTTGAACTCTTACCTTCATTTTTAACCACGCATTAACATTACCGTTCCAAAGACCATTTCCCAGCTACAACACCCCTTTCCATTTCTCTGCGATTAAACACACAGCCTCATTCGCAACCCTAAGTCAATTTTCATGGAGAACACTCAACTCTTCATAATAGCCCCTCCATTTCGCCCCCACTTCTCATTCTTCCCGGCTTACCCATCTACTCTCACCCTCTAATCTTCATTTGTGCAACCCAATTATCTATCACTGCAACTGAAATGTTGAAATCTTCAGACCCACATGCAGATTCTTGTTCATCAAGGTCTGCTGCTCACTCTGTGTAGTGTTCATGAGCTTTGTAGGAGCTTCTTGGCCTACTTTATTGGGGGTTTGGTAATGGACTGCTTCCATTTTTATAAGCAGTTTTATACGGATTTGATTTTAGGTTTGGGTTTTTGTTTTCCGACATGTTGTGTCTTCGTGCTTTTTCTTGTGGGGCTAATAAATTGGTTCTTCAAGTAATTGGTTATGCATTCCAGGGAATTAAGTTGTGGGTTTTGCTCAAAAGTTGGTTTTGATTTGAACTCTGTCTCAAAGGTTGGATCTTGTAAATTGTGGAAGAACTTCAGTGCATAACCAGACATGGGTATGCTGGAAGAGAGCCGAATTAGAGCTTGAGAAAAATGGTAAAGGCTGAAAGAAGGAATGCAAAGTGAACTGAATTAGAGCTTGAGAAGAAAAGAATGGCTTCAGGTAGTGAAGCAGAGGAAGTCATGGCTATGATTCTGCAATTTCAGAAGAACAAGAGAAGGATTGAAATGGAGTTTAAATAATACAAAAGGATAGCTCAAGAGAAGCAACACCATGACCAAAAAGTGTTGCTTTGGAAGATTGATATTTGGTGCTCAAAGTTGGAAGCAATTTATGATGATGAACACCTGAGACTCCTCTGAAGACGAGACATCAACTTGGAGCTCTCCCAATCCTCACTATAGCTGGGAAACGGCCATTTAACGGCAACGGTAGTGAGTGGTTAAAAATGAACATAAAAGGTTAAATTTGTGTTTATTTGGTCCACAATAAACACGAGTATTTTATCCGAGATTCATTAAAAACCTTAGTGTCCTTTTTGGCCCTTCTCCCTAAGTTTTATTTTATGAATGAAAGAAGCGAAAAGGCGGAATGAAGTGAAAAGCGGATGAGGATGAGGGGGGGAAATGTATTGGTTTTATGTATCTTTATATTTATATTATTATATGAAGTAGTAGAGTGGCAACCAATTTTGGAGGCAAAATTGCCGCCTAAATGAAGGAGATAAATGTAAATTTGTATGCCTATGTTGTATGTATAAGGAGAAAAACTCTACAATAATAGGGCATTTATTGCTCATGAATATGCCTCAAATAAAACCATGTATAGTGAACAAAATAACCAAATGGAAAAAAAATTGGAAAAGCACGCGTATAACAATGCACGTCAAACATTCATACTCTCCTTTTGTATTCAATGGGCAATAAGAAAGTAATTATTACTCATTTTTTAATTATGGGAATAGATAATTTATTTTTTAAATAGAGACGAAAATATAAATAGAAGTAGTAAAAAAAGATGTTCTTTCAAAAAAAAAAGATTTAACTTTTTAACTTTCAATGAATATAATACTTCCTCCGTTCCGAAAAGGTTCACCAAATTGACTTTTCTCAGTCAATGTCAATTAACTTTGACCAATTATATTTTCTAATACAAAATTATTTTGAATATGAAAGTTATATCAAAATGTTCCTTATTATCCAAAATATTTTAAAAGTATAAAATTTATAAATTATATATAAATATAATAATTAAAATCGTTGTCCAAAGTTTGTCATCATTGACCAAGAAAAGTCAATATGGCGAACCTTTTCGAGACGGAGGTAGTAATAACTTTATTGACTTTGATCATTTTTCAATTTTATATCATAGTAACTGTGACATTAAAAATTAGTAACTTTTTATATGGTATACTATGTATTTCAATAATATTTAGCGAAACAAATTCTTTATTTTTTAGCATATTAACACAAAAAAACACTAAAAAACAATACCAATTTTTAATTTTGCTATTAAAAATTAGAAATAATAATAGAAATAGTAATAAGAGAAATCATAATAAAATCACTAATAATAGTAAACGTTTATGTGAACCAATATTAAGGGTGTTTTCTTTAACCAAATCAAATTGAATTATGTGCACACAAGCTCAAGTCATAGATATACTATGAAACCGTTACACAAGTTATGTATAAGAAAGTGGTAAAACTATTACATATTATGGAGCCAAAATTGACATCCATTAAGAAGTGAAATAAGAAAATATTTGACCATTATCCCCGCTCAAACTACTCACAATGAGTTAAATTAAACCCATTATATTGCATTTGAGAATAGTCTTTAATACTTTTACACAAACATCCTATTTTGATAGCTAATTCTTTTAAAATAGTACGAAGGTAAAAGTGTTGGTGGTCATAACATGGGTAATAGATTTTGGGTCACATTAAATATATATATAAATATCAAAATTATAAACTAACCAACAAAATTGATACTCTTTTTTTTGCCCCGAAATTGGCACATCTTTATATTATAAAAAGTAACAGTGTAGCTACAACTTTTTGAGCCAAAATTGCCGCCCAAAATAAGGATAAAAATTAAATGTAATTTAAGTTTCATAAAATGTGTGCCGCCCTCATACGATATGCGTGCTCACCTAAGCGCATAATAATTTACTGCCCATATGTGCCTTTAATAATTTACATAAATAGAATATTTACGTGAATAGAACATTTATTGCTCTTGAATTAGGCAAATGGTGCACCTTCTCTATTTGAGTATCGAGAAAGAGTTTTGAGGAAATGTCAAAAAATAGATTTTACTATTTCTTATAAGCTTAATTTTAAATTTTTATCATTTTCAGAAATTATTAACAATTTGTAACAATTTTTTCTTGATCTTTGAAAGTTGGCAAAATCGTGGATAGTTTAAGGGAGTGTTTGCGATTGCTTCAACTTTAAAAAAAGTGACTGTCTGAGAAAATGTTTGATAGTAAAGTTAGTAGTGTTTGAGAAAAAGAGTGCATTTAAAAAACTAAAAGTGAGTAGTGTTTGATAAAATAAGTGTTTTTGATGTAATAAAAAAAAAGTGAAAAGCACTTTAAAGAACCTCTCAACATGCTTCCAGTTTTTAGCTTTTAAGTGATTAATAATTTAAGTAGAAGCCGTCATTGGAAAACACTCATTTCAAATTTTTTAAATTCAAAAGCTGAAAAGCAATTT